AAAATGTGGAACTTTATTCCAACACAAGGATGACAAAGAGATCAAATTTTCTACGACCAATGTCGCTTTCTTTAGGATAATTAATGGGCAAAGGTAAATATTTCCCTCTGGCGCAGTTAAGGACCATTCTCATTTGGTGAGTGAGTGCATCCAAACCAACTGAAAACAGCCCTTTTCAGCCTTTCTGAAAACACCCCTGACTCGTTTTGTTAACAAATACAGCGTCGGCAAGTAAACTCATGAGATTTAGCAAAACAACGTATTTATTTGTTGGCAATGCTGGCTATTAATTCGAAAATGTTACATGTAGAGGGATATCTTTATTCAAGTTGCAGCAACAGCAATACACGTGGAGCACTAGACTGCAAATCAGCTTTGTGAGATCTTTTCTTGGCTCACAGATTACCAGTTTTCCCTTTTTTTCGCTAACAAGTTCTGATCAGGTGCATCGCTTGTTAGAAAATGAGCGATCTTGCGGCTTGAACCTTGTCGGCAAGGTCACGCCAGTAAGGCCACACCGATTTAATTTTATGGATGACATCCTCTGAAGACCCCCAAACTAGTGCGCGCGGGCGAATAAAAAAAATTCCAGCCAAAAATAAAAACGCTACTAAAGCACAGGAATACAAAGCTCAAGTATTGTGAACTTGCGGCAGTACATAGCGACGTATACGACAAGCCGGCACATTCTGGCTTTTTGTGGACCGGAATTCATGAGTTGTGGAGCTTCAAATTCGATAGCCTGGGTGCTCGGCTCCGTTTTGTCGCTGACTACCATGGACTACCCAGGCCTAGAGCAAGGTCAGAGCCTCGGTGGAGGTGATCTTTTTTTTTTTGAGGGCGACAGGCGAAAATCAATGCGCGCGCGGATGTCATCCATAAAATTAAGACGGTGTGGCCTAACCCGATACCGGCATACCGGTAGTCTAGAGTTCTCTGCCGTGGGCGACGACGGACCTGTAGATAGATTCTGCTTGTTGCAAACTTACATGCATAATCAATGGCATACATGATCCTACACTTACTTGCTTAGGGCTGTCCATCGATTTCGATGATGACGACATACACTTATGCTAAAAGAAATTGCAACAACTCTTTCTTCACTTTAATTTAGGATATTCGTACAAGATTTAAAGGTAGGGTGCAAAATTGGAAATATTCTTAATACGGCAATCTGTATTGACACAGACTGCCCCACATTAGCACATTTGAATTAGCATCTCATACTTTAGGCATTAAAAAAAAACTGCAGAAACAAGCCCCAAGTTGAGTCCAATATTTTCTGGGTGGTACCCTAAAATAAATCCAGGTAACCGTTTCTCGTCAGAATTTTGGGCCGTTTTGCCCCATGAATGTCGATATACAATTAAGACAGTGCTGCTTCAACTTAGTATGTAGATAAGTGACTAGAATATTGACTTTCAAAAATCGGGTTTCCAAGCCCTAAAAACTGCACTGGATGCCTTTACTTTAACCTCTTTCCTATCGATGGTCAGATCAGTGTCAAGGCGGATACTGACACGCAGTCTTCCGTCCGTAAGTGTACATGTGTTATACGTATACCGTCATCAGTGTAAACTGCTAAACTGGGTAAAATAGAATGGCTTATTTATGTGAAAAGGCATTCACCATACCGAGATCCAAGAGACATGAATAGCTCGCATCAGCGGAACTTGTGACCATTTCAGGAATTCCTTTGCGCACAGATACAGTATGTGCACTGTACAAACAGTACGCCATATTACCATGGAAGCGCTACGGTTGATCTGGTATAAGTCATGGACAAGGTGATCTGTGGAGACAGCTAAATAGTTCAGTGTCTACGCAACTATTTACAAAGTACACCGCCAGGTATTTGCTAGATTGAAAGGAACCACGCGTGTCACATTGCCTTTCACAAATATGCGAGTCAAGATGGCGGATTTTGAGGAACACTTCCTTGTCGCTGTTGTGCTTCACATGGTCATCTTCACAGGTACGGTGATTTTGTTCATTGTAACGTGTCTAAAAGTAATTTAAAATGTCGATGTATGGGTGCTATCGTATCCAAAGCCATGCCTATCTAGTTCTATGCCTGAATGAGTTAGGGTAAGAAACATGTGTAGTATCGTCTCCGCGTATGCAAGAGCGTAGAGTTGAACCTTAGACGGTTCTAGATATGCGTGGAATATCCGAAACACTGCGTGATCTAGACGCATTTGAGAGTCATCTTTGCTTGTTTAAGTAGCATGTTAATTTTCTGGCTCCAAGCGAAGTGGCAGTTGGCATCAAAACGTAGGACTGTCCATTTTTATGTTGTATTGTATAAATAATTACATTGCGCATGTAGTATACTTATACTTGTAAATAGTTTGGGCACACAAGTACCCCTGATATTGCAAGTAAATGGATTTATCAGGCTTTTGTGCTTTTTATGTATCACTAAGTACCGTCAAAAAGAAGATATGTCTTTGTGGTTGTGTGTACATGTGGTCTGAAAGCATATCTCATTTGCAAATTGGCATATATGTGTAAATACCACGTTCGGCCTTCTTGTGGCTTTCTATAGTACTGCAGCGGTACGTCCGGCCAGTATTCCAGCTTCTGATACAAATCACCGGATGAAATCCCTAGTTTCCGTGTGAGAAATTGTCGCACACTTTCCCGGATATTTTAGGTTTCCGGTAGAACCCGGGGGTTTCCAACCTGCACACGTATAGTGTCCAGTCCCGTACATGTCCTGGAAATTCAAGGAAATGAACCAATTTTGTGTGCAGGCCGTGTACAGGACGTTAAATGCCTGGACACGTCGCCTTTAAATCCCTGTAAACGGCAGGAAATGTCCGTGCACCGCTCCGTGTGTTGCTGGAATATGCATAATTTAGCAGCAATTATCACCTAATTATCCTCAACACGGCAACGGAAATTCGCCGTGTACGGGTGGGACATGCCGGTACTACCGCTCCGTGCGTTGCTGGAATATGCATAATTTAGCGGCAATTATCACCTAATTATCCTCAACACAGCAGCGGAAATTCGCCGTGTACGGGTCGGACATGCCGGTACTATACCCCCCCCCCAACGCCTCACACCTAGCTCTCGGGGCCGGTTGCCCCCGCTCCCGTACGCCCCGCTACCGTTCCCCCTGCTCGAGCTCTCGGGGCCGGTTGCCCCCGCTCCCGTACGCCCCGCTACCGTTCCCCCTGCTCTCGGGACCCCGTTACCGCCTTTATACCCTACATATATTTTGATATTACAGGAACACATTTCTTTCAAAAAGGAAGGCAATATGCTTGATTCATCGTTGAAAAATTTATTCGTATCAACAGAACCATTTCTCCGTGGCTGCAGGAGCTCTTCCCCGCCCGATCAAGCTAGGTTTCTCTGGTATGTTTTTCACAACGGGAGATGATGCTGTTTTTCTCCCGTCGTGAAAAATCTACCGGGTAACCTAGCTGAGTCGAGCGGGGAAGAGCTTCTGCAGCCCCGAAGCCCATCCAACAACGATAGACTGGACACCAGACTAAAGAATTTACAGGAAGTGCCCTCAAATGATGCAACATAAACAAAGACTTTAAAAACAAGTAAATCCTAACATTGCTAGTAGTTGAAAGAGAAAATAAACAACGTAATTCCATTTAATATTGCGTTTGGAAATTATAGCGTTGGGAGGAAAATGGACTAGCTCACGGCACTTAATTTTAGCGGTGTGGACAAGGCAGATGATCAAAAGTGTTCAAATACAATGTATTACGGTACTGAAATTTTAGCGGTACAAAACTAACAGCTAAATCAGCTATAATTAAGTGACAGTTAACAAATCAAGAATTACGGTACATAAAAGTCACAAAAAGTCAAAAGTCCGGTCATTTACAAGGGCGTAAGTGAAATATTCTCCGAGTCTGAAATGTCCTCTCCCTCAGCAAACGAGGGTTGGTTGTAGCCCTCAAGGGCGCGCGGGGACATGGTGTCGTCTGTGTCGTTGAAGCTTAAACTCCGCCCGGCTGGTGGCCTGTGGGGTGGGGTGTTGGTGACGGTGTTCGTAATGGTGGCGAGGCCGGGGCGGCGTGCCGGGCGGGGAGGTGTCCTGGCCGGAAGTGCAGCGGGGCCAGGTCGGGGTCGTAGCTCTCAGGGGGCTGCCTGTCGCTCACGGCGGCCTCCTCTCTTATCCTTGGCTTGCGGCCGTCGCTGTGTTTGCCGCCTGTATCCAGTCGGGTCTGCAGGACGCCGCAGAGTTGGGATAGCTGTGTGCTTCTGAACGCTGGCGGCTTCATTAACCACACAGCTATCCCGTTTGAAACGGCGTCCTCCTCGTCCGACATGAGGTCCACCGTCACTCCAGTCCACAGCCTTCTTTCGTCTTCTGTTTGGAGTGCGGTGCCTCTTGCGTCCATCAGCTGGTTCAAAACATAGATAAACGGAATAGTCAGTAAAGATGAAGTCATTTTTATTTCAACTAAATTTACCAGTAGTTTTGCCAAGGATCTTTGAAATAATCTTATTTTAAAGGTCCTTGGTTTTACAGAGTGTGAAAAAAGTCAGACAACAGCAACAATTTTGTCCAAATGAAAAGTCTCAGATTATAAAGTCAACCGTCAACGTCCACTTGTTTGTGTTTCTATTGTAATAAATTTTAGATTTTTACATGAGAACAATCCAAACACAACATTTCCTCGCTTATGAAAACAAATTAAAGTTGTCGAGCGCTTGGTCTTTTGTATGCAAAAAAATACATTTGCATAGACTCACCCTTTGTCTGCGTGACCGCTGCTTCTTGTCCTTCTTCTGTTTCAACGCCTTTTCTTTGTTCTCAGGGAGGCTGTTCACAAACTTCCTTCGAATGGTCTCGTAGTATCCCACACAGGCGTCTGAAAAAAGGAATATATGTACTTAGCAACACGCAAACTGTGTATATAGCTGTATTGATCCACTTCTTATAATCTAAGTATCAATACTAAGTCTAAAGCGATTTGAACAAGTACATATATCACATACATCAATTATATCAAATATATACACAAACTACTTCTTATACATTGTACAAAAGAAGTTAGCTTCTCACCTCGAATGGCATTTGGTGGATACTCGCCACTTGCAGCAAGTTCTTTCACAAGATGCGACGTCACTGTTGCGTTGTGGGGTGAGTTGAGTCTGTAGAAATAA